TATAGATCGCTAAGATCGCTAAGAAATTAGAGAAATGATAGAAATCATAGAAATTAGAGAAAGTTGAGATCCATGATTGACGGGATCATCATTCGCTAATTGTAATTGGCGCAATACTAATGCGTCATAACTAGACTATCACTAACAATACATACAATAGAAATCAAGCTTTATTTGTGTCAAAAATTAAAGATAATCAATGTACAATTGAAGTATATTAAGGATATCAATGTGTAAATTATTCAAAGGTTATTCACCAAATAAAGTTTGAAAAGTTTTAAGTATATTACAAAAGTTTGATGGTATCACCCTTTTTGGACTAAATAACTTGACAATACAGCAAAATCTTGCTGAGCATCATGTTTCCACCTACAAACCAAGTGATTGGACAAATTACACCCTTATAGAAATACTCTTCAAATATCATCTCAAATGACAAACTTATTCAGATATAAGATGATATACTTTATTTGAAATTGGATAAACAATAAAAGCAATGTCATTGAATTATATGTACAATTAAAATTTCTATACTCTGCTCGGCATAAATTTGGAGATCGAAAAATAAGAGCATAGTAATATATGCTAAAGTCTGCTGGATGTCATAATATAACTCTGTTTACAAAAAAAGAATTGAAGGTGAGATTTTTTTTTTGCAATCAGTTTTGCATTTATAAATAAATAAATCTATATACTTTTTTATTTTAGTATTAATTTTGGACTAAAGCTACAAATTCAACCAGTGATAAAGAAATGCTATTATCTTTATATAAACTCAGATTTCTTACTTCAAGTCCTTTAAACCAACATAATAATACACAAATCTTTTGGAATTGTTTTGCTCGAGCTTTACATAATAATAAAAAAAATAATAATAGAAAAAGAAGAATTTTATCTATTATTTCTGATCAGTTTACATATGTTGAATTAGAAAGAAATTTGAAGGTATAAAATCATTTTTTATTTTTTTTTATTGAATTTCATAACTTTACTACCTCTATTCTCATCACTATTATCTTCGATTTCATTACCTATACCACCTTCATTGTCATCACAATCATTATCTTCATTCTAATTCCATCATTACCATTATTTCTTTTTCCACCACCTTCATTTTTATCGTCTTCACTTCTATTATCACTATTATCACTATTATTGCTATTATTTTCATTTCTATTATCTATACCACCTCTTCATTTCCATCACCACCACTATCTTCATTTCTATCATCTCCATTTTTACTGTTTCTATTACCATATTTCTACCATCATTATAATTTCTGTTACCACTATTATCTTCGATTCCATTACATACTGTACATCACCTTTATTCCTATCTCTGTTTTTACCACCTCTATTACCATCACTATTTCCATTTTTACCACCTTTATTATACCACTATTTTTGTTTCATACCTCCGTTTCTATCACCTCAATTTTCACCATCACTATTATTTCTGTTAATATCATCTTCGTTTCCATTATCACCACCTTCATCTCCACTATCTATCAATAAATAGGTTGATAAGCACATAATTCTTGAATCGAAAAGACATGCAAATCTTAACAGATATGGAGCACCACCTTTACAGATATCTCAATTTAAAAGAGAAAAATTCAACCCTGAAATTATAGCACAATTTGATGATTTTTTATTAGATAAATCAAATATTTCAATGAGTTCACATAAAACTGATCCGAAAACTGGTCTACCTATTTATTATTTACAAAATCACAAATTTGCACTTTGGAAAAAATATTCTGAATTGTATCCAGATTAAAGATGGGAACTGTAATTAATATGTTGCAACTTTAATGTTGCAACTTACGTTGCAATTAGTTTTAACCTATATAT